GAAATGTACGCATTATCCTGCCCATGTAATTGTAACCCCTCTGTACAGTATGTTCACAAATAAAACAAAATTAAATTTTAAAAAATAACTTGAACTTCTCACTGCCTAAACCCAGGGAAGCCCCCGCCCCTCTCAGCCCCAGCAGATGACAGATGTAAATCCAGAAACACAATGTCACTGGTCTGTACAGCGTTTGGAACAGGAAATGCAGAGTAAGCCCTCAGTCCCCCTAGGAAAAGAAATGGTTTGCCCTCCTTTGCTCTCCCCCATGACAAGCAAGCGAAGGCTGGGCTCCAGCCAAGCCCAGAGACCCCCAACAAGGAGGAACGGACGACGTATACCTGTGAGAACCAAGCCAAGACACCAGGGCCATGGGGAAATGGCCTGCAAACTCCGGAAGGGGTGGGGGTGGGGGGGACAAGAAGAGAGCCACCCTGGCGACCGCGGCCAGCCTGTGCTTCGGAGGCCGGGCGAGGGGCAGGGTAGTCCAGGAGGCGCCCGGATCAAGGCCAGGGCCAAGAAGGAAGGAGGGGGCATCCGGATGGGAAGAACCGAGGCAGGCCCAGGTCGCCCAGGCAGGAGCAGAGAGGACAGGGGCGTTGTTCTTACCTCCTCGGGGCTGGCCATGTCGCGAACGGGCCGTGCAGCGGCCTCTGGAGCCGCAGCCCCAGGGCCTCTCGCCTGCCAGGTTAGGGATGCTCGAAGCCGGCGCGTCCGCCGCTCCACAGAGACCCCGGCAAGGGGCGGGTCTTCCCATCACTTCCGGCGCCCACGTTACGTACTTCCGCTAATCCGCAGGAGAGAGCTACAGAACCGCCATGTTGGGGGTGGCACCGGCCAGGAAACTGCTAGGTAACGGAAGGAACTAGAAGCTCCCTAACTGTCCTTAACTACCCCTTCGAGCTCGTTCTCCAAGCTACACAAGGCCCTCCTGGTTTTGCATGACCCCTTCCAGCCATACCAGCCTTCTTAGCGGTCCAGCACTCTCCCGCAACCAGCCGCTAGACCTTTGTATTTGACCTTCTCGCTGCGGAATTCACACATCACCTGTCTGTCAAAGTCACCTGTCCGTCAAAAAACCTCCGTCACTGCGCACGCGCTAAGATCGCCTGGAAGCGGAGGCGGGGAATGCGGTCGGAGCACCAGTGTGTGCATGGATGCAAAGAACAGGAAGCCCCTTTTCTACAATTAATAGGCACTACGGGCTAGGAAAGTGGCTCAGAGGAAGAGTGCTTGCCTCGTATGCATGAGGGTTCGATTCCTCAGCACCACATACATAGAAAAAGCCGGAAGTAGTGTTGTGGCTCAAGTGGTAGAGCGCTAGCCTGAGCTGAAGAGCTGAGGGACAGCGCCCAGGCCCAGAGTTCAAGCCCCACGACCAACAAAAAAATAAATAAAAACTACACATAGGGGCTGGGAAGGTGGCTCAGTGGTAGAGCGCTTGCCTTGCATGCATGAGGCCCTGGGTTCGATTCCTCAGCACCACATAAGCAGAAAAAGCTGGAAATGACGCTGTGGCTCCAGTGGTAGAGCGCTAACCTTGAGCTGAAGAGCTGAGGGACAGCAGCCAGGCCCAGAGTTCAGGCCCCACAACTGGACCAAAAAACAAAAATAAATAAATAAATAATAAAAATAAAAAACTACACATAAAAAGCTGGAAGTGGTAAGAGCACTAACCTTGAGCACAAAGAGGCTCAGGGGCAGCCCCAACCCCCCCCCTTTTTTTTTTTTTGATCCAGTCATGGGGCCCGAACTCTGGGCCTGGGTGCTGTCCCTCACCTCTTCGGCTCAAGGCTAGCACTCTACCACTTGAGCCACAGCGCCACTTCTGGCTTTTTTTTTTTTATATCTGTTTATGTGGTGCTGAGGAATCGAACCCAGGGCCTCATGCATGCAAGGCAAGCGCTCTACCACTGAGCCAACTTCCCAGCCCAGCCCCCAACCCCTGAGTTCAAACCCCAGGACCGACAGAATAAATTTAAAAAAGAAATAAGAGCCGGGCATGCTGGCTCACACCTGTAATCCTAGCTACTCAGCAGGCTGAGATCTGAGGATCGCGGTTCAAAGCCAGCCCGGGTCAGGAAAGTCCCTGAGACTCTTATCTCCAATAAAACCACAGAAAACAGGAAGTGGTGCAGTGGCTCCAGCGGTAGAGCACTGGCCTTGAGCTGAAGAGCTGAGGGACAGAGTTCAAGCCCCGCGACCAACAAAAAGAAAAAGAAAAGAAAGAACTAGTTGCCAGTGGCTCACATCTGTCATTCGAGTTACTCAGGAGCCTGAGATTTGAGGTTGCAGTTCAAAGCCAGCCTAGGCAGGGAAGTCTGGGAGAATATTTCCAATTAACTACCAAGAAGTCAGAAATGGAGCTGTGGCTCAAGTGGTATAACACTAACCTTAAGTAAAAAAACTAGTGTTAAGACCCTGAGTTCAAACAAAACAGTACTGGGGTGGGGAGTGTGTGGTAAGAACTAAGCCAGAATATGAGTATTGACTTCTAGGTAACTCAAAAATATGCACAGGTTTGCTAGGCCTTCCCTAGTTTGTAACTCTTGTAGCTGTGGAAGCTAGATGTGTAAAACAAAGGGTGGGGGAGCTATACTCACTCCAAAGGCTTAGGAAAGATCCTTTCCTTGCTTCTCCCTAGTTTCCAGTGTTTACAGGCAATCCTGAGTCTTTGAGGTGCAGTCATATCCCTCCAAGTTCTCCCTCAGCCTTTGCCTGGCCTTCTCCTCACTGAGTGTCTCTGTGTCTTGAACCCAGGACATGTACAAGGCCCTGGTTCAGTTTTCTATTCACAGCAAAAACAAAGACCAAAAAAAAAAAAAAAAGAAAGAAAGAAAGAAAGAAAGAAAGAAAAGAGGGGCTAGGAAAGTTGCTCAGTGCCTAAGAAGCAAGAGACCTTATGTACCAGCCAAAAAAAGAAAAAAGGAAATACTTATTACAAGTAGATTAATGTTTGTAATCAGGGCTGGGAAGGTGGCTCAGTGGTAGAGTGCTTGCCTTGCATGCATGAGACCCTGGGTTCGAGTCCTCAGTACCACATAAGCAGAAAAAGCCAGAGGTGGTGCTATGGCTCAAGTGGTAGAGCACTAGCCTTGAACTGAAGAGCTGAGGGACAGTGCCCAGGCCCAGAGTTCAGGCCCCACAACTGACCAAAGAGAGAGAGAGAGAGAGCGCCAGCCTGGCCAGGCTTTGGAAGGCCAGCAGCGTTCTGGCCCCAGGCAGGAAGGTGGGGCCAAATGATTCCCAAGAGAAACTGGACTGGAACCTCTGGAGCCTCTCCTTACCAAGGGCCTATTTCTCAAACAGGGCTGAGGACTCTGGCAGGCAGCTTTCTGTGTCCCATTCCATCTTGAGGGTTGGGTTTTATCTCCTGGCCTCTGTCCCCAGACAATCCATGCCTCTGACACAAGCCACACTCCTGACACAGACACATGCCATGCACACCCCCACATCACTGACCTGTGAGGTCAGCTCCAGTGTCCTTTGCTCAGGAAATGTCTGGGCCTTCTTCCTCTACCAGCAGTGGCTCCACCTCCCCCCAACCAGCCCTGTCCTATGATCCATTACCTTTTGTCCAAAAAAGGCAAAATCACAGTTTTTCCTTTAAAAAAAAAATCTGGATTTTTGAGTAGGGCGTGGTCATCATCCTAGCACAAGGGAGGCAGAGACAGAAAGATCTAAGGTCAGCCTGGCCTGAAAACAAATCTGTATTGGTTTAAATTCCTACAATTTACAGATAACACCTGTTCCTGTGGCTTTGCTCCAGGCTCTCCTTATTTGCCCATGTTCAACGTCTTGTCCTCTACCCTTCCAGCTCCATTTACTGAGTGCCTGCTGAGGGTAGGGGCACATGTGGGTGAGTGAATGGGTCCACAGAGTGAACAGATGGAAGGATGGATACCCAGGTGGCCAGGGACTCGTTTCCAATGACAACTCATTCAGGGGAGCCCCAAGACCAGCCCAGTTGACACTCCACTGTCCCATGAGAACTGTCCGACTTCCCAGATACCTCTGGTACTCTTACAGCTCAGGGGAAGGGTCCATGGTTGCTGGCTAGCTTGTGCACACAGATGATCTGTCTGCATTTGCCAGGTGTCTGTCACACAAGGCCACCCACATAGGACCTGAGCCCTTCCCCCTCTGCTGGAAGTGGCCAAGCCACTCAGAACACAGCTGACCCACCAGCAGCTAGCTGGTAGCCTGTATCCTTTCTCCTTTCCTTGTTAGTGGGCCAGGCTGGACACCAAAGGGAGTCACAAAGGCCTTGGTTTGCTCAGTTCCCCAAGCTAAACAATCTCTGGGGGCCTTGTGAACATGCAGAAGGCATCCTGGACAGCATAAGGATAGGATAACAATGAGAGCCCCACTACCCACTCTACTTCTAAGAGGTTGTGTCATCTATTCACCTTACCACACCACACTTCTCCCTGCCCCCCCCACACCCAGCCAAGTCCCAAGGCCAGCTCCCCACCTGAGCTGCCATCATAAAAACCTCAGCTTCCCCTCCCCCAGCCTGCATCCCCACTCCCCTAGCCAAGCCACAAAACCACAGCTGTTTTCAAGATGTGCACTTTTATTGAACTGGTCTCAAGTCAGTGTACAGGGGAGTCCTGGCCACTTTCACACCTCAACCCACTCCCAGGGAGATTTGAAAAGCCTTCGTTCATACATCTCATGTTGGGGGGGGGACAAAAAGGGAGAGAAGGGTCACCATGGCTGACCATTCAAAAGAAAACAAAATAAAAAAAGTATTAAGGCGATTAAAAAAATGTCGCATTACACCATGTACACGAAAGCAATGTTGTCTCTCCCCTGAATGGACTGGGTGAGGGAGGGCTGATAGGCCACCCTCCTTCCCAGGAAGGAGGAGGCTGGGGTGGCTTATGGGAGGGTGAGGGACTTCCTGTAACAATGCAATCTCACAATATTTGGAATGACTATTTAAAAAAAAAGACAAATGTACAATCAAAGTCCTGGCCACATTGTAGAACTTTGGGGGTTGCTTGCTCCTGCTCCTGCTGCCACCTTCACCGTTCCAGTTTTTAAATCCTGAGTCAAAAGCGCCAAAAGAAACAAAATTTAAAAAAAAAAGAAAAAAAAGAAAAAAAATGAAGCCATGCCAATCTCATCTCGTTTTCTGCGCAAAGTTAGGTAATTTTTTTGTCAAGAGAGGGTGTATCGCAGCTAGGTAACAGTCCGCCTAGAAGCACTTGCGGTGCACGATGGAGGGGCCGGACTCATCGTACTCCTGCTTGCTAATCCACATCTGCTGGAAGGTGGAAAGGGAGGCCAGGATGGAGCCACCGATCCACACAGAGTACTTGCGCTCAGGGGGAGCAATGATCTGCAGGGAGAAGGCAAAAAAACAAAAGTAATGAATAGTACTGACATGGTCAGGCCCACAGGAGGACCACCAGGTCCCAGATCAGGCTAGCCATCACCCACCTTGATCTTCATCGTGCTGGGTGCCAGGGCTGTGATCTCCTTCTGCATCCTGTCTGCAATGCCAGGGTACATGGTGGTGCCACCAGAGAGCACTGTGTTGGCATACAGGTCCTTGCGGATGTCCACATCACACTTCATGATAGAGTTGAAGGTAGTTTCATGGATGCCACAGGATTCCATCCCTGAGAGGAAAGAGGAGCCACACATTCAACCTTCAGAGTAGACCCAAGGGGGTCAATGCTGGGTTAAGAACAAACTAGGCCAAGTAGACTTACCCAGGAAAGAGGGCTGGAAGAGCGCCTCAGGGCAACGGAAGCGCTCATTGCCAATGGTGATCACCTGCCCATCAGGCAGCTCATAGCTCTTCTCCAGGGAGGAGGATGAGGCAGCGGTGGCCATCTCCTGCTCGAAATCCAGGGCGACATAGCACAGCTTCTCCTTGATGTCACGCACGATTTCCCGCTCGGCTGTGGTGGTGAAGCTGTAGCCTCTCTCAGTCAGGATCTTCATGAGGTAGTCTGTCAGGTCCCGGCCAGCCAGGTCCAGACGCAGGATGGCGTGGGGGAGGGCATACCCCTCGTAGATGGG